CTGGTAAATAATTTGGAATCAGTATAGGGACAGGTGATCGTTGTATTTCTGCACCACGGCATACACTACATTGTGAGCATTTCGCTTCCTATACGAGTGACGAGATTATGTGAATGTTTTTCGTCTCAACAACCTGTTGGCACAAATTAATTATCTATATCAGGTTTTAGCTACACAGACTGCAAGTTTATCTACATAAATATACATTTTGGGGGGGATAGATTAATAAGTGTTTCATATATCACAGAGAAAAGGCAAACCGCTATAAAAGTAGTATAATAATTGTAGTTTTTCCTCTTAAAAAATGTATCTGGATAACCTTTGGTTTATTAACGACCTGTACAATTGGGGGACTGCTCGTGTTTCTTCACCCATCTGACATTGCTATAGAGATGTTACCACGTTCCCAAATCTTTAGTAAGTACAAAGATGATAGAACCAATGGTCAAAACCAAGAAACTAAGACTTAAATTGTAATAAAAACTGCAAGAATGCTCTAAAAACGACCTCAAAAAACAAAAATCCAGAGACGCCAGCAAATCTGTTATCTCTCCTCTCTTATGTAACTGTCACTTTCACCTGGTAAAATGACAAAAGGTTGCTGTTGGCAGGTCAGATCAGCTGTCACTAATCCACATTAATTCCGTTATTTGTTAACAGCCCAAAATAAAACTGGTCTGTTGTCTGTTTTGCACTCTGCAGGTGCACTGCATTTAGTCAGATTGTTGGTGAAATAAAAGAAGCCTCACTCTGTAACTGTCAGTGGACTGAGTACTTTGTAGTTTCAACAACTCTAGTGGACTGCATCAGGTCAATTTCAGGAGTTCCAGTCTTCCACTTAATCTTTCATTCATATCATATAGAGACCCTGTAGTCCAATTTCCATGCCAGTCAGAGTAGCTGGAACATCTCAAAAATCACAGACGACTTTCACCATTTTGTAGAGAAACTGCAGCTTTGGGAAGTTATTTGATATGTTTGTCATTTTGAAAATTCTAGCATGGATTACATTTTATGGTGCAAACTTTTTCTTTTCTTCAGAAGAGCCTGTGCAAGAAGCTGGCCAGAGGAGTTACTGTTAATATTTCAGGTCCAGTGAAGTCTCTGAAAGCAGGAGGAGAGTTTGTGCAACATTTCGACAGATATTGATCAGAATCTGGGCATATTCATCAGCCTGGAAATAGAAACTGTCTTCAGTTGTTCCGGAAAAAAAAAACTGCTTTAAGACTCTGTTCGTTGCCCATGGCTGTTTTATCAGGCCAAAAATCTTTTCCTTTATACAATACAATACATTGAAATATTGAGTCTACCATCTTGCATTTTGCCTACAGGCTCTCTGTCAGGCCAGAGGTATTTTAGAAATGTACGGAACGTTTATTGCAAGGTAAATGCTGTTTCCAGGTGTTATTTTTGTGCTTTGTTTCTCTACAGTAAAACCAACATATTCAGTTGTTCTTTACTTGAATGTCATCCTGAAGAAAATGGCAAACTAATTTGTATCGTAACAGATGCGTTGCTAAAATGCCACCATTTTCCGACCAAAGTACACCAAAAGTTTAACAATTTAGTGCTTTGTTTTCTGTTCAACCACGATGGGAAATTGTATCTGTTAGAATAAATATCACTTTACTTCAGCTGTAGCAGCTGAAATGCCCTCAGTGTAATGGAGTCTGACTATGATTCATGTTTTACTAAAAAGCACCAGACCAGCTGAAAAACATGCGCTTGTTCTGAATACGCTGAACTTCTAAATTTCATTCATTTCACTCGACGAAGTCACTGCAGTTTTTTTAATTGGTTGCAAATAGAAAAAAGATTTGGTTCTGGCCAGTCTTTCAGTGTAATTAGCAACAGGTGTGAATGGTCCAATTATTGGAGAACAAGCTAGGAATCTGCTAACTGCTTGTGTACACCAAAAGTTCACCAAAATTCCAGAGAATGGTGGGAAATGTTCACATTCTCACTGATTAGAGAGTAGAAATTAGCAAATCAGAAATTATGTTTATATACAACTAATTTGCAACAGAAAATAAAAAACGTTTAATAAATAATCAAAGGTTTTGAAGGAAAATTAATGTTGACCATATTATGCTTTCTATTTTTCTGTCAACTTGTCTGCTACAGCTACAAAATGGAGAAATTTATATTTTATATAGATTTTTTGGTGTCATGATGGCGTCCTGTGGTTGTGTCTTAGTTTGCAAAAATAACATTCCAATATCCGTCTACGGAGATCTTTTTCTGATACAGCCAATTGAATCTTGAATAAAGCAGCAACATCAGCACTGTATCACAGACAGAGCAGACGGTTACACTGAGCCAGTCAGCAGCAGCTACACGTCACATTAACGCAAAATATCTGAGCTTACAATTGTAGTGACTAGAGCATTATAAAACTCTTCTATGGTTATGTCGAGGCACTCGTGGCTCTTGGTAAGGGTTCGGGAAAGATTGAGGTCTTAGTCTAATACAGAAAAAGTCTGCAGTGACTTGAGACACGTGCTTATTAAAACCTGAATCTTTCCCTAACCTTAACAAAAGTTCTTAACCTAAACGTAGAGTCTGGATGTTTGGTCTCACAGTGCTGTGTCCTGTACACCCACCATTCACCCTGACTAACCTCTTGCTACTTATGTGGTAATTATCATTCAGTCTAAACCTTTGCCTATAAACATAATCCAGGAAAAGATTACCTTCGTCACCACAATGTAATTGGGAAAACAATTTGGTAATATATAAGTAATTTCTAGTAAACAATGTTGGAGGAAAAGGATTGTTTTGTTTGAAGTATTGACATATTTCTGCTGAAATATAAGCCTGTCTTAATGCCAGCAGTCGTTTTGGTTGAAGATATAGACACATACTTTTATCGGATATTTGCTGTGTTGACTGATATTGGCAAATAAGATGCCATTCACTGATGTTTATCTGTTGTGTCACATCAATTTTGCACTGGCTAGATGTTGTGTTGGTTATTTCCAACTCAGATATTGTAGAAATAATCGGTTTTCCAGCACTGGCACAAATTGCATGCAAATACAGATGTGCTCCATGCAGAAGCACGGACAGCGAGCGGCTGTTTGGCTCTGCGTGTCACATTTGGATTTGAAGACAAATAGAATGAGCTGCAACAAGGCAGAGATGGTTATCTTTGTGGATTTCTTTGTTGCCGGCAAAGAAATAACAACAAAAATTCATCAGTATTGTCATCGGCTATTAGTCATATTGTTATTTTAAACATAGGTTTGATGCATCCCTACTGCAAACATAGCTTTTGGAATATGTGTCCACACTTTTCATGGACAAATTGTGCAGATTGCGTGGCTGTTAGAAATGAATCTGGTTGCATTTAACACTGTCTTTGAAATCACTCCCTCATTCAGTCCTCCCAATATAGTAGACACTCAGTAGTTTGCTCTATAGTGAGAACTGAATGGAAATTTAAGACACTCATGAATCATAATTTTGCGTCATTACTGACACATTTAGTGTTGCATGACTGTAACTTTCACATATAAAATGCTTTTGATTATGGGGTTGATTAAAGTTGTTGAAGCTATGGACACATTTTATGCTGGTATAACTGCATCACACGTACACCACAGAGGAGCACTAAAAAGCATCTAAATGAGGCATTTACTGTCAGACTTAAACAGGAATGAACGCATGTATGACGAACGTGTATTTTATGTGTCCATGTATCTTGTTACACAATGTTCTGCATTGCAGTTGCTCCAGTAGAAATTATAAAGTCGTCAGAGGCAATGTCCCTGAAATAGGAGCGAGTGATAGAGAAAATAAAATGTGTGTGAGAGAGCGATACTTGGTGAAAGAAAGAGAGACACAGAGAGTTCAGACCAAATGTGCTGTGATGGGTTTTGTTCCCACAGCTGAACACACTGTCACATGTATCACAGCAGGACTGTGTTTATTCAAATCAATTGGGTTGTGACACATACATATATCTTGAATGTATTATAGGAACTGGTTATAGACTGATTATCTTGCATTTTTAGATTCTCTGCATTGGCTGTATGCTGCACTCACGAAGCAGATAAACAGTAAATGTGCAGACACACCTGCTGGCAGCCCTTTTCAGTGTGGCTGCTGTGGAACGACATCAGTGTTCCCCTTAATGAGTTTTGAGAAGGTGGTGAAAAAGTTTCCAGCCCTGTACTGTAACTCTCATACATCCCGCTGAAAACATTTGCCTAAATTTCCTCAGTCACCATCGTCTTTTTTCCCATCCTAAATGACAGCAAATTCAACCTTAAAGATTAGGGTCTAGCCTTATATATGTGTGTGTATATATATATATATACATCAATTTAATTGTCTATCTTTCTGGTTTGCCTCAGCATTCTGCAGCCCACTGCTCATGTTTATTAGTAAAATCTAGTATATATATATATATATAGTAAATTTTTACCCTAGTCATGGTCCCTTGTCCTTGGGATGATATAATAGTAATTGTAAGGATTTTTTTTTGTACTGGAAGAATGTGCTGATATTGATATGTTCATGTGTGTCTGTATAGTTGTTATTGTGATAGAGACTGTAATGATGTTGCATGTACATGAATGTTTACAGTGTCTGGTGGTTGTTCTGTTTGTACCTGCCCAGGGACTGTAGATGTAAATAAGCTTATAGCTAAATCTGGCATAAATCACGTCTTCTCATTTTGAGATTCATGTTTTTGTGCATGGTCCTTGTTTAATAAAGTAAAAATAAGTAACATAAATCTCCCTAGACTCCGTGGGTTATACAAATATAAAACCTTCATGGTTTAAAAAAATCATACCAGAAAGCGTACTGACAGTATACAGTCAGATATGTCCTATCAACAGTTCTACAAGTGTCTCTTTATAATGGATTTTGGGCTGGAAGGGATTTCTTTGTTGCAGTACTGTGTTTGGCCTCTGAGACAAACTGGCAGCAAGGCTGATTTGCAAACATGTTGGTATATTTGTGATTAATCCCAGTCTTCTCTTATTTTTTAGACACAGATATATTTGGGAAGCCGCCCTGCTATGAGGAGGCAGTTCTGATGGAGGATCCTCCTCCGCCCTACAGTGAGGTCTTGGCTGACCCACGGGGGGGCACCTACCTGAAGCCTGCCCCGCTCCGAGCTGCTCCGCAGCCACCTCCTCCCAGGGAATACCAGGATCCTGCTCCGGTCTTCACATCTGAGACCAGCAAGCCTCCTGTGACAGCCGTATTCCCTGAGCGAGCTTACTCCTCCCTCATACGTCTGCCTTCGTCCCAGCGCTGGGACTCCCTGGGTCATCTCCTGTCCAACATGGACCTGAACCACAACAACCTTACCCCGCCGGGGGGGCGGTCCATCCAGGCTGCCGCTGCAATGGCTACCATGCCCCGCCGAGAACCCAGGACTCACCATGATGCACTTGGGCTCAGAGGAGGACTACAAGGACTCCAAGGAAGCATACAAGGACTCCAGGGAGGCATACATGGACTCCAAGGAAGCATACAAGGACTTCGAGGAGGGATACAAGGATTCCAAGGGGGAATACAGGGGTTCCAAGGAGGGTTCCAGGGGCTTCAGGGGGTACATGGACTGAGGGGACTGGAGCCCAGCTGTGGCCTGCCAACAGCCTTTCCCCTGCTTGGTCGGAGCACCGCTGTCTAGACCTGGATGCTTACTGGAGGAGTCTAACCAACCAATATGTTGGTCTATCTCTGAAGAGCCTTCAAGCAGGAGATCTATCCTGTGCTGCTCCGTGTTTACAGCACTAACACTGCTAGAAGTAGAGATTTAATTACCTAAAGAGCTAAAAGAGGGTTCAAATGCTGCAAAGGCGTCAGAAGTTCAATTCCCCGTGCAGCTCTGTGGGCGAAGGGTGCCACTTACTCTGCTGGGACTGCGGCTTTCAGCTGTGCGTGTGGATAAAGGAGGAAATTATCCACCGTTTTCAAACCAGTGTTGTTGAGTCACAGATGTATCCTGGTGTCATATCGAAAGTTAATTGAGACTAGGTTTTTTTTAACAGCAGAGGAGGAGAGAAAAGAACCAGTAACGAGGTAAAAGGAGGAGCAACAAGCACAGCTGTTTCTCTGCCTTTAATCTGGACTCCCTCTGCCTTTATTTTCATCTCTACCTCCCCCTTTTCGTGTCGTCCTCTTATTCTGTTCATCCCTCCTCTCTCTGTGACTGAGCAACCTATTGTACCAGTCTGCCGTTGCCATGGCTCCCAAGAGCTGTCTGTTGCCCACAACGACCTCTCCTCTTTTATCTGCTCTGATTTTTGAAGACTGTGTTCACAGCTTGTCTCCTCTCAAGGACTGTGAGTATTACACTTACAAAAGAACACGTGGTGACCTTCATTGTCACCCGGTTTGTGACATTAGAGCCCCTGGGCCAGTTTTCCCTGTGAAAATCAAAACAAAGGTAGAGTGCAACAAGCTAGCCTGAGAACCAAGTGTACATGGATTGCATTTTGTAACATGCTGCTTTGTTGTTTTCAATGTCGTCTTTACTACAAACTGTTGGGTCAGCTTGGTCATTTATGTGAAAAAAACTTTCTTTTTCATGTATACATTTATTTAGCTTTGTGACAAATGCCTTTTTTCTTGTGAAATAAAAACATCTTCACCAGTTGGGCATCTTCCAATAATTTATGGAGTGAAAACAAAGGACCAAAATGGGACTAGAGTGTTTCTGCAATATACCATTGAATATCGGATCCGTTAAATCAAAGATAAAGCCATTAACTTCACTACATGTCTTCAGGATTAAAATGCAAAAACTCATTAACACTACCTAATTATATTACTCATTTTTTTACCTTCCATATTTTCTTCGTCATTTTTTTATTGAATTTTTCTTTATTTTCTTCTTCTATTCTTGTTTGTTTCTACTAGTCTTTGCCTGATGGTTTTGATTACATTGTGCAGTGGTGGGAAAAATAAGTGAAAAGGGCACCAGCCTGCAGAAAGTTGTGATGCTTTCATGGTGAAATATCTTTGTCAGGTTTATGATAAGCACCCTCGAGGGTACTTCATCATGTTTTCTTCCCTGGATGGGCACCCTGGAGGAGTGGTCAGGACCCCCAAAGGGGTTGTGAGATAATTTTTCGGGGGTCGCTAAATGATTCAGTGTAAAGAGAGACAGTAAACAGCTCTGAGCGATGTCATCCCTTTAATAAGATTCAACACAGGGAACAAGAACTCATAAATACAGTACAATTGGTTATACACTCTGTTTTTATACATAGTATATAACCTATTATTATTAACCTGTATAACAGGCCCAGTTACCTCAGTAATATGATATGATAATGTAATGCATCTATTACTGGGCTTTTAGGCTAAAAGACTTTTGACTGTGAAGGTGCTGTTGTTTAAAAAAACATGATTTAGTTGTTGTTCTGTCTTTGGGCAAAATAGTGGTCTTCCTGTGTGAGTTTGGTAGGTTTGATTTGTTACACATAAGGTGTTTTACCATAGAGGCACGGTGCAAAGTATAGGGGAGCCAGGGGGAGCTCGGCTTCTCTTCATAAGACATGAGCTCCCCTGAAAACATGATTTGTGAAATACTGACAATATGTTATTTTTTATAATGCAGTTCTATCTTTCTGTATCTTCATAATCTTGGATAATGTCTAGAATTAGGCTATTATTGATGTATGACTCATGCATGAGGGTGATCTAATTCACTAAAGATACCGGCAGGCATTCTATTCTTACCATCACCGCTGAAGCGCTGCGGCACAATATCATAAACTTTCCTCACTTTAACAGAAACATCAGAAAATGTACTTTCTTTGTCCCACCCACAGTATTTATTGCTCTTTTTTGTAGTAGAGAAAAAGTGAGCTCCCTGAAAGCCATGGTAAAGTTCACACACTGCATAGGGGCATCCAAGAGGGCACTTTTCATTATTGTAATTGATTATCAGTTTAAAGGGCAACCTCACCAGTGACACTTTGTACTGAATAAGACATTATTATGGGCAGATCAGGTCTTCATGGGTTCATTCGGTTCTTATGAACTGAGACTTCATGTTGGACCCAGTTTGGGCTGAGTCCAAACTGTAATATATGTAATACCCTCTTTGATTATTGCTGCTCATTTTAAGGTACCTTGTAGAGTTTTTGAACACACGTAGCACCATGGAGTGATGTTTCTTAGGAGAGTGTCCTCGTTTCTTTTCTCACATTTTGGATCAGGTCTACAGTAATTACCCTCAGATCTATTCAGGTTTAGGCTGTCCTTGGGTTTTAAATTCATAAAGACAAATACAATATGAACTTGATGAAGGTCTTGATAGCTAAAAGGGGTTTTTTGGGGTTTTTTTCTAAGCCAAGAGGGAGGCCTCATGGCTCCCTTCCTCCCCTGCACAGATAAGATTAATATATATAAGACACATAAGAATGTATTGACCCCCAGGAGTTTGTTTTTTGTCTTATGAATGCAGGTCTTTTGCTATTATTCCTGATTTTGCAAACAGGCAAAATAAAGGATTGGATTTGCTTTGGGGTTTCGAAGAGGGTGACAATCAACAACTTTTATTAAAATAGCTGCATCGTCATCTGAACTCTTCAAGTAGTAATTCAACATAAATTAATTAAAATGCCTGTATGATACAGCACGGCTACTTTTATAATTAGGTCAAAGGTGATGTTCTCCAGCCTTCTGTTCCTGTGAACTTGCTCTTCTGACCTCTGTGTTAACCTCTCAAGTTTTCACATAAATTATTCATCAGATTATCTCTGTTCTTTTTCTCTCTGCTTCTCTCAGCTATAAATTCATTCTGAACGTCTGCATCTGCCAATCAGGAAAGCCTTTAATGTAAATTGTAGATATCAGTTTCTCTCTGAGTGAGTCATTCGTACCCTCCCTCTCCTCCTCCCTTGATTATCTCCTCTGCATCTTCACTTTCTTTCGTAACTGCACTTCTGTTATACGTATTCTTATTTTTATTTTTAATTCTCTCTTCATAATCTGTCCCCGACCAAAATAAAAGATAAATGGTAGATAAATGGTAAATGGTCTGTGTAGTGAAGGCAACGCAGAAGTGTCTTAAACATGCATTCTATGTAATGGCCAGCAGTGGACAGCTCCATTGGCTGCAAAAAAAAAAGCACAATAATGTGGAGTCTTCTGGAGAACAGTCTACTTGTCACTTGATTTATTATCTATTTAAACAGTGTCCTAATGAGTTTATGATCTCAGTTGTTGTTTTCAAGTCTTCTTCCATATAACCTGATGATCTTCATTTTGTAAGTTATGGTCCAATTTAGAGAAAAATAGACGATAAATAACTGCTGCTGTAATAGGATACTAGTCATCACAAAGTTATGACCCGCCCTCCTCAAAGCTCTGATTGGCTAATACTAAATCAAAAAATCATGTATGTGCCGCAAATCACACAATGAAAGTGTTGTGGTTTAACTTTTCTGTCCCAATGCACCTCAATTGATGTCTATCTGACATAAACTTTTAGCTATCTGACTATAGTAAGAGACCACAAACTCCCACTAAAGGTACTTAGAATGGTGACACAGACTCACAGATGACGATGAGAATTGACTGATTCACTTCACGTGCAAACTGAGTTGTCCCAGGATACGACTAACCAGAACAAAGAGAATCACTCTATTATATGCCTATTTCCCAAGGGTGTCTATTGGTGA